CCAATCTTTTTTTATTATTTACTTAACTCTAATAATATGTATCATGTGTATAAAAGATTTTTCTATGGAATTTTAAAATTATATACAAATTTACCTTTTTAAAAAAAAGGTAAAAGAACGCTAAGCGTTGATAAAACTGGCCCAAATGGTCCTTCTCGTAAAGAATCACCATTTGGGCCAGTTTCACCAACGCCAATTACTTAATCGGCCGTGAAACTGACCAGTTTCACCAAATAAAATTTCACCAATGCCAATTACTTAATCAGACGTGAAACTGATAACTAATCACGTTTGCTGTTTAGTAGAACTAATGATATGTATCATTTGTATAAAAGATTTGATATCAACAATTGTGGCGCCAAGTTAAATTCTGTTAATAACGTTTTTACTAAATCTAATGATATATATATCATCTGTATAAAAGATTTGATATCAACAATTGTGGCGCCAAGTTAAATTCTGTTAATATAATTCTCTTCTAAGTGAAGTAGTGGGTATAAAAAGTAAAATATGCAATGAAACCTACGTATACGTATATCTTATTGAAGGATTCCAATCCAAATGATTTAAATTCGTTTTAAATGAAATAATTATATCACAATTCATTCAAAGACATTTTCTCTTCCAACTGAAGTAGTGGTTATAAAAGGTAAAACCCAAGTGATACTATCCTTATTATTTACTTAATCCAAATGATACTATCTTTAATTTTTATGCAATGAAACCTAAGTATACGTATATCTTATTGAAGGATCTTCCTATTTCAATCCAAATGATTTAAATTCCTTCTAAATGAAATTATTATATCACAATTCATTCATAGACATTTTCTCTTCCAACTGAAGTAGTGGTTATTATTTAATTCTCTTTTTTCAAAACACAAAATTGCATTACCTTGCTCAGTTTAAGTGTTATCACAAAAAATTTAAGAGTTACAAAAATTAAGATTAAAATTTAACCGTATAAAACGAAAAAATTTAATTTAAATAGAAAAATTTTTCATGTAAAAACACTTGGCGCTGCTAGATCTCGATCGATATAATAACAGTAGTAAAATATGTATGTAATATATAGAAAAATAAGAATAAAATACTAAGAAAATGTAATATTTAAAAAATAACAAATAAAAAGCGTATTAATAAGAAAAATTAGAATCGTATTAAAAAATATGAATATTTAGAGAAATAAGAAGAATAAGAAGCATTCCAAATGAGAGTCAAAGTATCTAGCGTGTGTATATATGCGATTGAATTATAGAGTCGTGTAAATTATAAAAAAACATTGTGAATACTGTTAAGTTTAAGTCTAAGAAAAATAAATTTCGGTTTGTAAGGCTTGCGTTATGACATAAAAATAAATAGTAAAGTTTATTCTTCTTTTTTCTTACTCGATCTGGCAGCGCCAAGTATTTTTACATGAAAAATTTTTCTATTTAAATTAAATTTTTTCGTTTTATACGGTTAAATTTTAATCTTAATTTTTGTAACTCTTAAATTTTTTGTGATAACACTTAAATTGAGCAAGGTAATGCAATTTTGTGTTTTGAAAAAAGAGAATTAAATAATAACCACTACTTCAGTTGGAAGAGAAAATGTCTATGAATGAATTGTGATATAATAATTTCATTTAGAAGGAATTTAAATCATTTGGATTGAAATAGGAAGATCCTTCAATAAGATATACGTATACTTAGGTTTCATTGCATAAAAATTAAAGATAGTATCATTTGGATTAAATAAACGCTACTTCACTTAGAAGAGAGAATTATATTAACAGAATTTAACTTGGCGCCACAATTGTTGATATCAAATCTTTTATACAGATGATACATATATCATTAGGTTTAGTAAAAACATTATTAACAGAATTTAACTTGGCGCCACAATTGTTGATATCAAATCTTTTATACAAATGATACATATCATTAGTTCTACTAAACAGCAAACGTGATTAGTTATCAGTTTCACGGCTGATTAAGTAATTGGCATTGGTGAAACTGGTCAGTTTCACGGCCGATTAAGTAATTGGCGTTGGTGAAACTGGCCCAAATGGTGATTCTTTACGAGAAGCACCATTTGGGCCAGTTTCATCAACGCTTAGCGCTTTTTTTACCTTTTTTTTAAAAAGGTAAATTTGTATATAATTTTAAAATTCCATAGAAAAATCTTTTATACACATGATACATATCATTAGAGTTAATCATATATACACATGCTAGATATTTTAACTCTCATTGGGGATGGTTTTTAATGCACACTAAGTTAGCGAATCTTATTGACAGATTACGACTCTCAATATGGTATAATTTATAGCCATTAAAATGTTATTTTTAATACCTTTCCTCTTTTTCCTTTATAAAATTAAATCAACTTTAG